CATGTGTATAAGAGACAGCTCCCTTCCCTTTCCCGGACCGGGGTAAACCGCTCCCCTCCGGCCCGGGGGCGCTGCCGGCTGGCGGGGGGAGGCTACGGGAAGCGTTAGCAGCGTTCCCTGGGGGCAGGGACAGGGCCCCTAGAGCGGGAAGTTCCCCCGAACTTCAGCCAGAGACACGGCGGCTTCCGAAACGCCGGTTCAATATCGGTTAGCTCCGTTCCAGCTCGCACGCTGGTGCTGCGGTACCTTTAACTTGTAATTACTGCCCTACCGCCTAATTGTAAGCTGGGATCTGCTGCCGAGGAGCAGTGCTGCTTGAACCGGGCAGTAGGGCCCGAGTGGTGTGGACCCACGGCAGGAGTGAGGGGATTTGGTTGGGTGGAGTGGGAACTGGAGCCGTACCTCGGCGGTGGGACGAGGCTTTCTCCGGCCTGGGTGTGGGGGGACTGTTAAGGCCTTTCAGACGTTAAACGGGCCACCTCAGAAGATCGCTATTGTAAACGGATTCTTCCAATTATCTTTCTAATTACCCGGGAGGATACATACGAACAGGCTTTTGTAATTTTGGTGTTTTTAAAAGTCTAAAGGGCTCATAGGCGTGTCTGCAGCATTTTAAATTCTTAGTCAAGGCTGGACTGCCTAGCAGGCTCTTTACCTGATCTGTGGTGACTAGCCAACTCCCCATATCTGTCTTAAATAGATTCATTTTTTTTATTTAGGCTATCTCTCCTATATGTATTTTTCTAGCCACGAATGCAATACTGGGCCAAAGCAGAAATTTGCTGATAGTTTTACCAAAGCCTTCAACTTTTTTTAAAAAAAGAACAAGAACCCGAAACCCGGGAAATTGGATAAAAATATTTTAGGCCCAAGTCTGAAGATATAAAAGCAGTGATATATAATTTCAGCTAATTTAAAAGGTACCGATAGTTCATGCAGGAGGGACAAAAGCCACTCCTGTGCTTGGAAAACTGAAATCCTTTTAGCTTTTATTAGCTCCACCAAACTTAATCAGATTATCTTTAATGAACACTTGGCCCTGGTTTGTGTTGGTGTTTTTGTGGGCTTTTTTGGTGGTTTGTTTTTTTTTTTAACAGGTTTTAGAGCTATGATATATGGATCTTTCTCTAATCTTAGGGACCAACAAGGAGTTGGACTGACAGAGGTGCAGGTTCACCAAAGTTCTTTCCTCTTTTTAGTGGGTGGTAATCCATTTAAAGTGTGTCATCCAGGGAATAACCAATGTAGGGTGAATGTTGTTCTCTGTCACAGTGTGAAAAAGCAAACAGATAGTGCTTGTGGCTTCTCTGGGCCGGTTATTCCCAATATGGGAAATATGTGTAACTACACCTACACTTCCTCCCTCCCCCGTATAAAAACCCTGGGTGGGAGATGAGGCTACAGAATATTGTACTCTGGTATTCCTTGCTAGTTCAACAGTATACAGAAGTACCTTGCTCCATGCTTTTCAGGAGCAGAGAGTAAGGTGATTTTTTTTTCTCTTTTCCCCCTGTCAGGGCAACAGGCAAGCAATGCAGCTGAAGATGCAGGGAAGCAAAGCTTGTGTTTTTAATGGTAGCTGGAATGCTAGTATTGAGAAAAAGTAGATTGAGTTATTAGACAAGCAGAGTAGTGATTTTTATCTTCCCCTAGTGAAAGCCTGGAACAGAACAAAATGCTGTTGGCTCTTGTTGTCATATAGGTTTCTGAATTTATAGTAAAAAGTGGCTGTTCATGCTTAAGCTACTGCTTTAAGATGTCAGCAGGAAAAAATATCACTGTGAACAATGTTGAGATAATATCTCTATGGCTTCCATTTAGCACAAGCTTCAATCGTTTCACAACTGCAGACAAATTCTTTAAAAATGAAAGGCAGTTTGTGAAACACAGATCTTTAGGAAGATAGATTGTACTGTGTATCTTCTCACTTTACAAGTAAATAGTTTAGTATCATTCATAAATTCCCTTGCCTGTTCAAAGAAAATCCTTAAGTTGTTTCTGAAGGAACTGGTACTGTATCTAACACTCTGCATCAGGTTTCACTGTCAGTTCTACTAATCTGTTTCCTTGTTATCAATTTCTCTGGCTTTTATGTGTATATCTAATGTAACTTTTGTTCTGGAAAATATTTTTTTTAAAATCCAGAAATATAGAACAATAGAGTACAGACTAAGACTGGCTTGTAAGACATTTGTTAATCTCATATTTGGGTTCATGAAGCTTGCTTCTAAGAACTGAATTTTATGAAAGATTCATAGCAGCTCATCCAGCTATTTTGCATGACTTGCAAGAAGAAAAGCTTAGAAGTCAAACTACCAGCCACTCATTACTAGTTGTTTAAAAATATCCTGTGATGCACTAAATGGTACCTATTCTGAAAAGTTCAGCTTTGATTTAAAATGCAACTTGCTGTAATTTGTCTTGGTCATAGGAAAAGCATTTTGAGTGGTTTAAGTTGATTTAAGTCCTGATTCTAAATTTGCTATTGTGTAACTTCAGTTGTCATACTCCTTTTATAACTATGTCTACTTGAAAGTGTAATACCAAACCTTTAGATGAGTAAGAAGGGGAAGGCAGAGGGCTTGCATATCCTAATTCTGGAGTCTTATGTATCATGATATATAATGATTATATGAATTCTACATTTCTTGCTGCAATACAATAAGTTATTGCTTTGGTTTGTAGGCCAGGGGTTTGGAACTACTGTCATGGACTCCTAAAAGAAATTTCTGCTTTTTTTAGATGGAGGCAGGATCTGGACTACCCATGCTCCAGCAGCTATGGTCCCCTTTCTTGGGTTAGCCTTTCTTTTTCCATTGGCTAAAATAAGCTTGATGTTTTCTTAGAACTTGAGAATTTTTTCTTGCAATGGATTATGATCTTAAACACTGATTTGAAGACTACATGCAGCTTGAGTAAAATACCTGATCTAGCCCACTAGGGTATACTATAATTGTACTATTTCGTATCAGTTAAGGGATACATTTCTATATTTTCTTGAGCATGTTGGATCTTGTGTAATTATTCCTATTATCTTTATTTTGTAGAAGCATTAAAAGAAATAGATGATGTCTATGAAAAATACAAGTCAGAAAATGATCCTGTTCAGAAGAAACGCTTGCAGCAGCATCTTCAGCGTGCATTAATCAACAGCCAAGAACTTGGAGATGAAAAAATTCAAATAGTTACTCAGATGTTAGAACTGGTAGAGAATAGAGCCCGGCAAATGGAAACACACTCTCAGTGTTTTCAAGATCTATCTGAGAACGAAAAGCCTCTAGAAAAGGCAAAGATGGAGTCCTGCCAGCCAGAGAGATCTTCACGTAGACCTCGTCGCCAGCGAACCAGCGAAAGCCGTGATCTGTGCCATATAGCAAATGGTATTGATGACTGCGATGATCAGCCACCTAAAGAAAAAAGGTCTAAATCTTCCAAGAAGAAAAAACGCTCCAAAGCCAAACAAGAGAGAGAGGTTTCACCTGTAGAATTTGCAATTGATCCCAATGAACCAACTTACTGCTTATGCAACCAAGTGTCTTATGGTGAAATGATAGGATGTGATAACGAACAGTGTCCTATTGAGTGGTTCCACTTCTCATGTGTTGGACTCACCTACAAACCAAAGGGGAAATGGTATTGCCCCAAGTGCAGAGGAGACAATGAGAAAACAATGGACAAATGTACTGACAAATCAAAAAAGGATAGAAGATCGAGGTAGTGAAAGCAATTCATGTTTTAAAGAGTTGCTCCTTTTATATTAAAATGTTTAATTTCCAGAGAAAGCTGTTTTAGGAAATGCATAAGACTATGCAATAATTTTTAATCTATAATATTAATGGAGTATTAAAAGCTGTTATACCTTCTGTGATCTTTAACTTTCTGCACTGAATAACCAAATAATTGAAACAGGGTGGCTTCAGAACTTCACAGAAGACATTACAAGCATATGGCGCTTGGTTTCAATTTAACCCCATTAGTATTTTAAAGAACCTTCTGAATCTTGAAATAATGGTGGTGGGAAAGATGCTGAAGAACTTTTCATGTTATGGTAAAGGTGTTGAAAGGCCTCCCGTAACTGCTAGAATCTTAACAACTGAATTTGTTCTTTATTACAGATCGTAAGTTTTCAGGTTTTGTGTTAAGATCACACATTTGGAGTTAGGGGTTTTTGAATTCAGCTGTAACTGTAAAAGTCTTCCGAGCTAAAAGCAGACCTCTTCAGTGACTTTCATATGACCGGTATGTTATTTCAAGGAAGAAAATACCACTAACTTAAGCTTTTTTTTTGTCAATATTAAACTCTTGTCTTTGTGACTTTACACTTGGGAGTCAGTTTTTGGATATGATAGAATTATGGTATATATGTAGTTATAGATATTCTTAGTAGGTTTGGTTTGTCAGTTCTGTCAAGCATCCTGATGTGGTCTTTATTGTTTAAGATGGTTTCTCTAATGCCAGAACTATTTCCTTGATTTGTTTTGCCACTCCCTATATAAGCCTTGAAATGATAGAAGGATCCCTTGAGAGCAGGGGATATTGACATCTCGGGGAACAGAAATTGCAAATGTGATGGAATTCTTCATCATAATCAATCTCTGGTGAGCTGAAACATGACTGGTATTCTCTAGGATGTAAACTTTGCTTTTTGTTAAGTGGTATTTGTGTATGTATGTGGCCACACCTGAGTTTAGGCACAGCACCACAGTTCTTGGACTTGGGCAACTATCTAAAAAGCCTGAAGGCAAAAGCTTTCGATAAAAGTTTTGATAGATAATAAAAAACAAACCATAAGCATGACTGGCACAGAACCAGTAGACAAATCCCAGCAGGTTTCTGACAGACTATGTAAGAGTCTTGTCCTGAAGTATGCTGGTAGTGTCTAAACACTCCTTGGGTGGTAGTTAAAAGTGAACTTCCTCCCCCCCCTTAGAGGAGGTAGAAAAAAAGATAAAAACAGCTGTTCCTGCTGCTTTGCAATGAGAGATGCTAATGGAGAAGTGAGTGGTGTACCAAAACTTGAACCTCGGGTTCCTGCTTAACAGTGTTCTTCCTTGAGACTGCCTGGGCCCTGGCGGGCTTCGCAAGACAGACAGAGCAGCTCTGCAGGGCTGGGTGTGGGGGTTATCTCTGAGTGGGTTGCAAGTGCTCAGAAGTCCCCATAGGTCTCTGCTCTTTGCTGTGAAGCTCTCCCTTGACAGCACAGAGGGAGAAGTGATGCCATGTCTGGCCAAGCCTGACTGAAAAGCAGTTGTGCTGGGTTGAGAGCAGCCCAGAAGGCAGACCAACAAAAGCAAGCCACAATGGATGGATGCCATCAGACTTCCCTCCTGCATCTCCACTGGAGGGCTGTGATGGCCAGGGCAGGAGGTCTGGATGCACTGTGCTTGGCATAAAGAAAGCCTCAGAGCTTTTGGGCCAGATGGTATGAATCAGTGTGCAGGACTCTAAATATTATAAACTACGTAAAATACCGAGCCTGTTTCCACGGTTATGATCTGATTCCTTAACAGGATTTAGCATTTCCAAGTAATACTAGTTAACATATGGCAGGGGAGCATAAAGCTGGTGTTTTGGATTTTTGCTCTAAAATTGTAGGTGTATTAAGTCGACTAGTTCCAGTGGGGAGACCTGTACCACAGTAAGCAAATTGCTCTTGCAGGAAACTACTGTGAGGGTGCTGACCATCAGCAGGGTAGGAGAGAAGGTAAACCTTATTCCAGGGCCCTATCTTGCTTTCCAGGCCTAGTGGCTAATCTGAGGTGGCAAAGATAGGCTTCTTGAGGGGGTTGGATCATGGATACTGATGGAGAAGGATCAGGCCAGCTGTTGGAGACAAGTGGTGTAAGTCATCCTCTGTGCATTTTAGTGCTTTTTCTGTTACAGTTTAATGATTCTTAAATTTCCTTCTTGGGAAGACTGGAAGCCATGGGCTGGGGACTGTATCAAGATCTAACATCTACCTAGGTGGCGATGCTCCCTAGTATTAAAAAACATCACTTAAGTAAACACTGAAACTGTAGAACAAATGCAAGTCAAATTGTAACTATTAACATTACTGATTTATCTTGAAAAGTATTGCTTGAAATTCTACTGGTTAAATCAAGAATTTTTTCCCAAGCAGAGGAGAAAGCTGGGAGTCTTACATAATTGTTCATCTGGAATAATTGCTAAAGTAGGAAGTACAAGTGGTGTTACAGAAAGAAAATTTTAGGTTCTGAAAGTGGTCCAGATAAATATTTCTAATGCAGGGATGCATTCTTTTATGCTAATGGCCCTTCTAGTAGGAAATAAGAATTCTCAGGGTTTCCAGTTAAGATACTGCTGGGGATAACCACTTGCTTGCTTAATATATGAAACTGCTCAAATGCACAAATAATTCAGTTCATAAGCAGATTAGCAGTGTGCCTCAAACATATGGATGTATCTAGAACTACCTCTTTTAAGTACATATGCTAATTTGTTATAACGTACATAACAAAAGATCTGATGTTATCTGGCATTTAGCACCAAACCCACATTTTGTGGATTTGCATCCATTTTCATAGAAGATCAATGACAATTGCTGAAGACACACATTAGCTGCTAGTGTGAAATCAGAAAGGTAAGTAGAGAACTCTTATGTTGCTTCCTAATGTTGAGTTCCTTTTCTTAAAGGGATGAACCTCACTGAAAAGTAAACACTGTTAAATGAGTTAATCTTCAAGATATGTATTGACTGTCATGAAGTAAGTCTAGCTGTTTGCAAAAAAAAACCCAAATCTGGGCAAACACTTTTGAAGTTGATAGAAGTGTATGTAACTACACAGGAAACTGCTTCCTCGTGAAAATTAATGCTACATCCTAATTCAGTGAAGCTTATGAAAATAGGGTGCACTTTGAAGTTCTTGCTCTTTGCCTTTCAGTTTTGAAGTCATGTAGGCTCAGCAGCAGCAAAGGTCCCCATAAACTATTTAGAAGCAGCATTATCCGAGTAAGAGGGTTTCTTGATCATTGTCCCATGGACCAGTTTGATTAATCTTGACAAAATAATAATTTAATCAAACAAAACTTTAAACCAAAACAAATACACCTAATAGCTTACTGTTTTGAAAGCAAAATAAGCAATTGCTGTCCATATTATAAGGCCATCCTACTAGCTCCAACAGTTACTGCAGTTTTTTTGGACTCTGGAATTCTGGCAGGTCTGAAATAGTATACAAGATGAATACAGGTTTCCTCCAGTTGCTGTGTATTACTGTTCTGTTGTGTAAGCTGCCTGAATCCAAATATAGTTAATTACCAGCCATGTCTTTAAGTGTAGTCTTCTGTATGCAGTTGTATGTTCATACCTGTTGACTGCTAAAAAGCACAATGATAATGCCTCCATATTTAAACTAGTTTTAACTATATTTCCCTGACAAACATTAACTAGTCTACACATCCAGAAATGGTGTACTGACAAATCTTGAAACTGGTACAGAAGGGTCGTAAGTGAAATGCTCCATTCTTCCCTGAATTTATCTACGGATTTTAGATTTTGGATGTTCCTTTAGAGCTGAAGTGGGCCTTTGTAAAGAAGATGGTGCTTTCTAATTCGAAGATTTTTTTCTTTTAAAAGCCTATAAATCTTCAGCTTGAAGGAAACTACTATAGCTTGTCTGAATTTATACTTAAAAATGAGCAGTCTGGCACTTCAGTGGCTTGTACCATTTCTGACTGCAACAGATCTGATTCTTAAAGTCTTAATCTGAGTTTTCATTCTTAGACTCAGCTGGGCTGAATCGCACCCTGTTTGGTCTCCCCTAAAACGGCCAGTCTACTGGGACAGAACTGCAGTGATTGCTTTCTCCCTCTTACGTGAGGTCTCATGTCCAGTAGCTCTGGCAAGTCTTTGACATTGGCACCTGAGACCGAAAATATCCCACAGGTTTCATATAAAAGTCCAGCTTGCTTTAAGTGCTGCAATCTAATCTAGACCTTTTTTTTTTTTTTCCCCCATACATACCTGTATCTTAACAGAGCAATGATAAAAGCTCCTGCGAATCATCAAGATGCTTTACCACATCAGGCAGTATGTCTGAAGCTCTACTGCACATTTCAAAGCTAATACTATATTGGTAGCTATTGCTTGCTGAAGCCTGCTTTAAACTCAGATGGCAGATGCATTAGTCTGAAAGGCAGCCTATCTATGCAGTGAGTCTCAGCAAAGAAATGTATTGTGGGCAAAGAAAAAGCAACTTATTTATGCTATATCTTAGAAGTGGCATATCTTCCTTTGTCAGAACTAGCAACCCTGCCTAGTCTCTGTGAAGGACACTTGAGGCAAGCCAAGTATGGTTTGACCTGTGGAATGACACAGACCAGACAAATTAACTGAGATGTATATTGGGAAGGTCCGCACTAGACCAGTCAGATGAGGTTAGGAAAGTAGTGGCACTTGCTGTTTTGTAAGTTTCCTATAGGAGCCTGACTCAAGAAAGGTTGAAAAGCTTGAATGGAGATGTGTATCTCCCTGCAATTCAGCATAAAAAGCATCTGTTCCTGAAGATATGTACTACTTACCTTATTCACCGCACCTCTCAAAAGCTCTTTTGAGTTACTTTAAGCATTGTCCTTGACCATTATGGATTTCTGAATCCTATTCATAGTGCATAGCTCTTCTTGGGCACAGTGAACAGTTACATCTCTGAATAGCTGTCTTAAAGACATCTGTGTCTTTAATCATCAGACAGTCTAGTTTTCTTCAGGTTCTTCCTGGCTGCTAGTGGATACTTCTCCAAAGAAGTTTTTTTTTTTTTTTTTTTTTTACTGGAATGGACAGTTGGTTTTGTATCTGATCCTCTCAAGACGAGGACCCACAAGAAGTGTTTTTTTCTGTCCAGTGATAGTTAGGTAAGACATTGCTGTTGGTGATAAAACCAGGTGTTAATGTGCAATTGTTCAAGTCCCACAGACTTAGGTATCCTAGAAGGAAAAATGTTTATTTTCTACTATTATTATGCCTCTTTTATAATACATGCCATGAAAAAGCAAAAACATTTGAAATCCTCTTTTTAGTGCCAGTTTTCTGATTACCCTGCAGTCTTTGGAACAGCTCAAGGATTATGGATTTCCACTACAGCTGGCAAGTAAACAGTTCTAATTAGTGAAAATTCTGGCAATTTTTTCATTAAAAGAAGCTGTGATTTGGGGTAGGGTAAGAGTTCTAAAAGATTGTTTTGAAAATATCTGCATTTTTTCCACCTATTTCTGTATTCTTTTGGTTTACTTGGTAGGGCAAGTTCAGTTTTAAGTCAGCTGCAAATGTCAGACTGGACTGCATTTCTTCTGCAACTGT